TGGATGTGCAAAATTCGAGCGCTAAATTATTGCTTGGCGGCCCTCGATCGCGATCGTTTCCGTCGAATGCCCAACGCGACCGATTCTAGCTGGCTCCTCTCTCATTCTATCGCATTCTCTCACGCTCTCCCGTCCGCGCGATCGATTCGGAACTTACGCGCCCCGTTGCCTGCTGTGTTCGCCGCTATCTCTAACAAGCCTACGGAGACGCACTTACAAGTTAGCGAAAACAATGACGGTGTACGTTCGACGGCGTCACGGGCGCTTCAGGACTCAACGACGACCCCACAGAATTTTTTTTTTTTTATGTAGAGATGGGTGCAAAGAAAATCGGCCCTGGGACCCATCTTTCGATATTCGCGCTATACATGCGACGAACTGGACGACAAGTATTTCTCAATATTGTATCGAAACAAATTTTGAAGTAACTTTGGGAAATTTAATTATGAAAAATATTTAAACAGTTAATTATATGAAACGTCACTTAAATTCCTCTTTCTTTTTATTTTCTTACCCCAATTCGAATGAATTTATAAACGTACCACGACAATTTTGTCATTTAAAAGGTCGTTGAATCCGTTCACGCCACCTAGCCGTTCATTCTCATTTTTTTTGTCGTTTTACAATTTTCCGGGAAAATTTCTAGTCAAAGGAGCCTTCGAATTTGTAGCGCGCAAGTGCGTGTCACGTTCCTCACGTGTAGCACCGTGCTAGCCGTGTACTAATGTATACGTTCTCTACGTTAAAAAATAATACTAACAATAGCGATGGTGTACCAACTAATTACGTAATAAAAAAAAAAATGAAAAGCACGATCAAGAAGAATTAAGTTAACCATAAGTTCGCTTCGCGCGAGCGATCGTTCTTACGTCGCGTGATTTGCTCCTCTCTCGGGCGCGCTCTTTCACTCTGCCTGGCTCACGCACACTCTAACCGTGTTCTCACACATGCACCTGCATCGATTAATCGCTAGGGATCGTTAAGTAACTATATCTTTGTCGAAAAATAGGACACCTCGCGTTTTCTCGTCTCTCGGTCCCACGTTTCTCAATGTTCGCTCTAATTCGAATTCCGTCGAATTCTACAGGATGGAATTTAATTCGCGCTGCCGCAAAAACAAGAACAAAACAAAAATTTACCCAATCAATTTTTGCCTTTGTCTGAGAATTTGTTTTCGAGAAATTTATTAACGTTCCTAGTATATGCATGCTCTATAAACGCATTCTATTTACGCGTGTGTATTATATATTTTGAACATGATTTACACGTGATTTCGGTTACACTATATGCTATAAGTACATAAAATCCATATTCTAATAATAATATTTAATTGTATTTGTGTAGGTCAACGCTATGCTTCCTTTCAACAACCATCAAATTTCAACAATTTTCTTAGCAAGAAATTTAAAACGCATTATAATCGATCGTAAAATCGCAAATTGTTAAATAATAGATAATTATTTACAAACACAAAACACGATACAAACAAATTTTGAACACGAAGGCATGCATACCCTGTTGGACCAGGAAACTCGATTAAAAATTCAACGTTGCCTTTAAACTCACTTTTCCAAAGGAAGTTAATCTCGTGAATTTTCATCGTTCTGTGCTGAATTACATCCCACCCTGTATACGCAACGTGCAACGATTAAAACACCAAATCCTCGACCATTGAATTAAAAATTTCAAGGACAAGACGAATCCTCCATCCATCGATTACAACTCGGTTAGCACAAAACACTGAGACTATTAGACGATTAGTTCGACGACTAATGGCCAAGCGTGGATCGACCGGCGGAGAGATCTAAAAATCAATTATGGCTAAAAAGTCGCGAGGGAACTTCGTATATAAAAATCACTCTGGATTGTTCCTCCGATCGACGCCGTGGCGCATCAAAATTCAAAAAGGAAAGGAAAAACAGTTACAAAAGCTTGCATGATCTCGTCGCTAGTTCGATATCGATCATTCTACTCGGAATGTTCTTGATCGTACCAAGCCTACGTTCGCTTAAACGCGTCTAATTCGACGATAAACGATTGATCCACCGCGGTTGATCGTGTCTGGCGAATCGCATCGATCTTTCTTTTAACCCTTTCTCTCATTTACAAATGGTCAATTTCAATTTTATAGTAAAATGGCTATTTTCGTTCCTATGTACATGCACTGGATGCAGTATTTCGCGAACAACTACAGTCGAAATAAAATTAATCGACCGCTCAAGGTCACTGACTATACCCATTACTTCAATCGTCATACTTTTTCTTTTAAAATGGTCTGACTCGCGTCTAATGTGATTTATATTAAGATACCTCCAGCAATCATTTATTTCCCGATTGTAATATTTAAAAATGCAGTACGAACCATTTTATGCCCAAAAGAAATAAATTTGCACTTAAAAGTGGACGAAAAATTTAACACGATCGATGAATTCGATCCACCGTTCCAACTCCCACGCATGCGCGCTCCTCCGTCACGTGACCTCGAGCGGCCATTTAATTTTTCCCCAGACTGAAACCGCTCCGCGTCCAACCTTTCCAAACAGTTCACGGTTCACATATTTTTCGTTTCTAAAATAATTTTACGTTCCCCAATGGACGAAAGGTTCCAGAGGTTCGATCTCCCGCGACAGATTAATCTTTGATATGCACGCGATCGCGCTGAACACTCTAGGTCCTACAAAATCAACGAATACGAGCGACAACAAATCTCGGTTACCTCCTAATTTAACAACTAAGTTTAGAAAAAAAGAATTCATAAAGATCGCAGGCAACAAGAAAAAGCGCGGAGTCGGTATGATGCACACGCGTAGATAATCATCGAATACGCAAGCTTGCTTCTCGTTTTGTCGTTCAGTCGATGTCCGCTCGCGATCGATCGCGGTGCAACGTTACGATCGACAGTCGTTTGATCGTCGAGGCGCGGTCACGCGATGCGATTGCTTCTCGCTGAATCGTTTTAATAGAGTCATTCTTGGTCAACGATTGTAATTCGTTATTTATCACGGTAACAGAGTTCACTGCGTTCGCCCTCTATAATCGACTGTGATTTCCATGACGATTTTGTCTCCTTGAACGAGTACTGGGTTTATGTAAAGTGCATGTAACCGTAACGTTGGAAACTTTAAAGTGCAATACTGTGTGGTTATACGTGTGGTTTCATTCGTTTCGGTATCGTCACAGAAGATTCTAAAGGGACGGGACAGAAAATATGAATCACAGAGGGCGAAGAAACGAAAGGGAAAACGGCATCGCAGGGGGAGCGGGGAATCGTCGTTGGGAACGAATGCCTTTCGAGGTCCGACCTTCGAAGAGTACCAAATTTAAAAAACTCGAAGCATCGCGAAGGGACAGTCGCGCGACGATTACAATCATTGGCCTCGGGTTACACGCTAAAATTCATTTTAATTGATCCTGTTACGTGCAAACTTGATCAAACGCGGCCAATTTTGATCGCGACGTGGCGTCTGCTTGGTCGACAAGATGGCGTCGGTTTGACCGAACGAGTGGCGCCACCATGGCCGACAAAGTGGAATGCATTTGGTTGCCGAAATTCTGCCGATTTCGTCGACGAAACGATGTCAATTCAGTGGACAGAACGACATCCGTTTGTTCGAACGGATGGCGCCGACTTCGATGACAAAATGGAATGAATTTTAGTCAACAAAATGGTGGCAGTTTGGTCGACGAATTCGCGGTGCTTCGATCGACAAAATGGAGCCGATTTAGCGAATAAAACGACGTCCATTTGTGGCGATTCGATCGACAAAATGGCACTGATTTTGTCAACAAAATGGTGGGCAAGTTAAAATGGCGAAATAACGGTACCTTCGCCGACCAAGTGACGCCGAATCTGAACAAAATGGCGTCGACTTCGCCAACAAAAAGGAACTGTCTCTCGCGGTAGATACGAGCGAAATACCGGTGTCGTTCGATCTTTCGTGTCCCACGCGTGCAGGTGTATCAATTAAAAATTCACATGGTCGCAGCATGCTCGACAAGGACACGCGCGCAGCCGCTGGAAAACGACGAGGATTCGGGACCTCGTACGGCATGGCTCTTAAACTTTAGACGCGTTACTTTGTGCTGTAAAAAATGTATCCTCCTTACCACGGACCAATACCAAACGCGTAAATCGATATAAAAAGAAATTAAAATGATTCTCGTAACGGCTCACGGATTGAAGACGCGTCGGTGTCAGATTCAATCTTCCAACGAAGTTGATACGATGTCCATTGCAATTACAAATGGTTAATTAACTTGATTTAGGCTTCTACATGTATTTGAATCGAAATAATAAATCTGGGCATTTATGATTTACGATTTTTTATTTCTCAATTGCAAACGACACCGCGCCAATCGACCTGTCGGTGGATCGTTCCAAACATAGAGTACGGTATTTTAAAATTACAAAATTCAATAAAACGCACCGTTTCGCCCGCGATCCATGAGGCGTCACAAAATTTCTATAAAAAGAAAAACCTCTACGTAAAATGATGTACGAAAAAATCATAGAATTATTAAAAAAAAAAGGGAAAAAACAGCCCGGAGAAAAACGCTTCGAAAAGCTCGATGAAGGACGCTCGCTCCTCGCGAGGGTTGTTTGTTCCGTAAAAAAAGAAAGGAAACGAAAAGAGTGCCGGGGTGAAAGAAAGAAAAGTCAATTCCAGAACCATTCGGTACGAGGCTCGCTAAGGACGGCATAAAAAAGAGAACAAAATGAAAGAGGCAAACAACACGCGGATGTACGCGGATTCCGAGCGCATCCTCCAACGACCGCATACGGCGTATACAATATTCAAAAGTGCGTATAAATATATACATGTAGAGATATATATATATATGTATATATATGTATATGTATATGTGTATAGATTGTTATACAAACATGATAAAAGGAAGGTACACAAAAAAAGCCGGCCGCGGGGCGGTCGTCGTCGATAAAAAATCAACCAAAAAATATTCGTACGTGTAAAAATACCGACGCTTCTACTAATTCTCTTTCTCACATTCTCTATTTCTCTCTCTCTCTCTTTCAATTTTCTTCAGTCAATCACCGTTTTCCCGTTTCGCCTCCGACGAACGAAGAGACTCTCACGCGCCATTTTCTTCGTCGAGGGTCTACCGGTCGCCATTGCTACATCCCAGCGCGAGAAATGCTTCCCGGATGTCAGCTAATCCTGTCGACGCGCATCACCTCGTCCATTCCGTACGGATCTAATTTACCTTAATTTCTCGACCCCTAAGTAACTTCGTCGCGACGAAAACACGCGACTGCTATTCGTCGTCCTCTACGCGCGTCCGCGAAAGAGGCAACCCCGACAATCAGGACGAACTTACGTGAACGGATGATGGTTCCGTAGCACGCGTGTGGCGGCTGGTCTGCCACGATATGTGTGTATGTGTGGTGGGAGGGGGAAGTGGGGTGTGCACGATGAACATCCACCGACGAGACATCCCTCTTTGCTCGTCCACGCTTTCCTTTTACACCGTCTCGCTTTGGGGGGCTGTTTGCTGCACGGGTGTCGTCGCTGTTGCTGCTGCTTGTCAATGTTTACTCGGCGGGGGTAACGGGAGATTTTTCGTTAGCGGGTGTGTGATTTGGTCGAGGAAGCGTCTCAGCCGAGGCCAGCCCACTGCATGAAGTCGGGCACCTCTCTGACGGGCACGTCCCTCGCCAGGGCCTTCACCCTCAGGTTCCGGTCCTCCGTCAACAGAACCACTTCCCTTCTAAGGCGTCTTGGCTGGCCCTCTTCTGTCCGGACAGAAACCAACGAATAGTCTCACCCCCATCGTACGTGCAACTATTCTGCTCGTAAGCATTTTTGGGAAGGGTCGTTGCAAACCAAAGTCATCGACAACCGGGACTAAAATCCTTGCAGACAGTTAACTTGCGAGCTAAGATGGGTCGACAAGTATTCTGGGGCACTCGGGCTAGATATCAAAGCTAGATACTTGTTCACAAGCATTATATACTCCTGTTTGCTTATAATAGTTTGCTTTATAAAAAGTATGCATACTCTACAGACGGTAGAAGAAGCAATTTTAGTTTTGATTTAGTTTAGAATACTACAGTTTTGAGAACTATTACCGTTTCCAATGTATTTACTATTTTTCTACATGATACAATTTTTTCGTCAAAGGGTGGGAATTTTACTTTGCATCGATGCACTTCGAACAATTAATTTAATAAATTATTATTGATTTCCTGAAACGTGCACGAGTACAACGAATAGCGTTTAAGTAAAAAATTAGTCGATCAGTAACGAAACGAATTTTATCAGGTGTTATCCGCGCGAAGAGTTGAGTAATTTAGTAGAACGTCGTACGATAAATTCCGCGGTCGATAAGGACCAATAAAAGTCGATTCCAACGCGGTGCATGCAGCTACCCCGATAACGGTTAATCTCCGCGTAAACGAAAATTACAATCGACCCGGTATTAATCACTATCAAAGCCGCAGGAACGTTCGAAACGTGTTCGGAGTACACCGCGGTGAAATATAAGTCTCGTATACGTACTTGCATTTAGTTGATCTTTGTTACCCGCTTTGCAGAGGCTCAAGCACGTAGCCAGTATTCTGTCATCGTTTCTTGTCAGCCCGTCCTGCAACAGAGTCGCCGGTTTATCATTTGCGAAACGACACGGCGTCAACCGCGCGCGAATCCCAATGGTTTCTGGATGGAAAGTCGTGACTTTCGAAATTTCAAAAACATATTTCCTTCAAAGAGGATTCAATAGAAAATTCGAAGTCTGCGTGTTTTTGTGACTTCCCTATGATTCCTAGAAACTTTGTCAGATCCAGGCGAAACTTTACTCGGATTGTCCTTTACGTTTCGATCGGAAATTATACTTGATTAACAAATTGCACAATTTTAAATATTTTATCGAAATGGGTAGGGTGCTCGAGTGTCGATGGGTCTGAATACAGTGCCTTGTAACGCGGTTGAAGTACAGTTTCGCGGGACTTTCGAAGTGGAGCAAAGGGATAAGGAAGAGCAAGGATGCGAGAACGAACGAAAAGGCGACAAGGAAAAGGAAGAAGGAGTCCGGAGGGTGGCGAGGCGTGGAGAATAAAATCTAACGAGCTCGCAGCGCGCGTTATCTATCGTTTGACAGATCAAGGTTCCTGTTACGACCGTATCCTACCCATGTATCCTGCATGTAACCAACGAGATAAGCGGGAGGCCGAGATGCGTGCTGCGCCAGAAGTTACCACGCCGTGAGAAGAGTTTATCTGTATACCACGTGGGGGTTCTCGGATACTCGACCCCTTATGATAACATTCGCGCTTCAATGAGCACTGGTCAATCCCTGCTTGTGTCTTTAGACACTCCTCGAACCTGCTCTAATCCTTTCTCCCCCTCGATCCTCCTCCTTTACCATTGCTGGGGTCTCTTAACCGTCGCCATGACGCTTACAGAATTTGGCGAAAACGTAATTCACTCGTCCACTGGCAGATCAAGACTAAAATTTTGTTTTCTGACCATCGTAAACTACATACGTAAACTGAAATTTCTTTCTCATAAATCTTAGTCGAATTACTTTGCCTCTACTTCATCATGCACAGAGGAATCAGTCAAATTATTAAGAACTAAATAGCAATGAGACTGGATGAGATCTTCAGAGGATCCATGGGCAATTTCTCTTTATTACTGGTACTTTAACACGTTCACTGCCAGATCAAAACTGTATAATATACTGCAAAAGCAAAATTTTCATTTTAGACCATTGGTAAGCTACATAACCTCAAATTTGTTTCAGTACTTATTTGTGTAACCTTGCTGAAATTTATTTCCCTCAACATTTTAACTTGAGAATTAATTTTTCTAGTATCATAGTGGTAAATCCTGTCATCCATATATGGGGGTGACGTGGCAGTCAAAGTGTTAAAAGTATGTGTGGCGCTAGTGGACCTGCTAGTGGGCTCATCAGTAAGGCTATCTAGCAGATCCTGCCTTAGACGACTAGGATATTGGGAATGTATAGCAACCGAGGGGTCGGTCGAGCGCTTGTGAGAGCGCGACCCCTCTGGTGGCGAGCATGGGAAGCAACGCCACAAAAGTTCTAGTTGCTACATCGAGTATGAACGTTTCATAAAGAGTTGAAAGTTAGACTAAAGATCGTTTGCCAGTGTACTCGAGTTCTACAGCGTAGAACGTAAAATTGATTAATTGATACAACTAATTACCTTCTCGACATCCTCCTCCATCGTAAATGTGCTAGATGTAAGAACAGTTCCTCTCGTGGTTAAGCATCTGATCGCCGGGTTCCTGCTTCTGGCGAACGCCAGAGCCGCCTTTGCGCTTTCTGCTACACGGGCCACGTGCTCCGGGTCCAAAGCCGCCCTCGAAGCCGGGGGACAGTCCCTGGAGTCGGCGCCCCTGGTCAGACCCTCGAGCTCGTTCAGAACTGGAAACAAAAATTCGAGCGTTCCATTAAGAGAACATTCTAAAAATTCAGAAATATCATCAAGATTTAAATTTAAACTTGAAATAAATCATTATCCTATAAACCGCGAAACCACAGAGTTCCCCCCTCCAACGATCTGTTTTTTCCCTCCAGGGAAAGGCTGCAATCTCGACGCGAACTCGTTCCTGAAGCAATCGAGGAAAGGACATCTCGACTCGGGCGAAAAAGTTTTTTCATCGACGTGGCGGTTTCGCGAAAAAAAGGCGTTAACGCGGAATTTTAACGAAGGAGCCCTAATAGTGTTTACGCAAACTTTGCTGGCCAACCCCTCCCCCGCACGAATGCGCCGCTAACGAACTTTCCTCAGACTCGTTTACGGGAAACTTGGCCCGAAACGATGGAAAATTCAGTTCGTAAAAGAGTTATGCAAATATCCTGCTGCGAGCTGAGCCACCTTTGGCAAGCAAATTGTGTCAAATAATTGTTCGTCGTTGAATCAGCGAGTGAAACTAATCCCAATTTGCGGAATCCTCTTGAAAATTTGTAACACCGTGAATAACAGAGTCACGTGTATGCTGTAAATAGCATTATCTCGCAGCATTTGCTCCTTCGTTGAACTGCAAGTAATTCGAATCGTTATTGCTCCGCGACGGTGATCATTTTTCTCTCCGAATTTCCAGAAAAAAGCACTTTCCACGCTTCAGCGGGATTCCGTTTCGAATGCTCGGTGGATCTATAAATCCTGGGAGAATTTGACGACTACCTCCGCGAGGAGAGCAGGGAATTATATATGAGTCCGGGACCATGCACTTTCGGTCATTCTAAATGGAGAAAGGAACGAATGCCCCGAAGACTTCTGCAGGAAGTGGAAAGTCAATAAGTAACGAACGAGGAATTTCTGTGCTCGATCGAGAAAGCCCTCGATCCCATTGGAAGGTGTTCTTCCCGAATATTTCGGTCACTCGGCCCGGTGAAATATTCAGCGGCGAAAAACCGAGCTCGTTTCAATCGGGAATCGTTCATCATTTCTTAACGGAGGTAACACGAATCGAGAAAATAGAACGCGTGCAGTTTACGAAGTAAAATATATGATGATCGAGAATAAATGGCGAGAGTAAGAAAAGAATATTCGACATCAAACTTTTCACACTGTTCAATTTGTAAAATGTGAAGTAATTTTAGACTTTAAATTCTTGGGAAGCTCCTGCAAGATCAATCTATGCTACAGCAAGGTCAAGTGAATTTTAGCAAATTCACAAGGCACCATTTTCTGTGACGAATATATCAATATTATATTCGAAGAGAATTTAAATTGCTTCTTGAAACGCAGAGTGAATTCACCGTTCGAGGGATGTTCTTTTACCGGATATTTTTATTCAATTTATTATTCATCCTCTGCCCGAAGCCCTTGAGTTTTTAATTTCTGGAACAAGTATGTTTCATACCTGGACGTTGCGCGACATTTAATAATAATCAGGACGCGGAGAGTCGCCCGGCGCACAGAGAAACAATTTCGGAGTGTTTCTGACAAGCGGTAATTGGACTGTCGACAGTGGTACGTGACAGAATTCCACGCATTTCTCCGCCCTGTTCGCAGCCGGATTTTAAATAATTCGAACGTTTCTATTCGACATTCGCAAATTTTATTACGGGATTCGCGATGCCATATTCCGACTTCAAACGCGTTCGCTGCAATCTAACGTGCTTCCCTTTCAAAGCGACGCTTTCAACGCCGAATATGCGAACGCAAAATTCCCCATCGCCTCCTTCTATTCTCCGTTCGAACGAAAACCTAGATTAATTTCAGTTCGACGCGGATTTGCCGTTTCGTTGATCGAACGAACTCGGTTAAAACGTAGATCAGAATACTCTGTCAAATGGACCACTATAGGTGTCCACCATTTTGAACGAAAGATTTAATTACACTGTTTTCTATTATTGCATTGTAAAAACACTAAATATTGTTCCCCACGTCCAGTGCTCGAGTATCGCTGATATAGAGTAACGATTCTTAAAATGAACGTCGACCTGTTCATCTTTCGTACAGCGGAGGTGAAATTCGACACCAGCAGGTATCGTTGAACTCTCAGTTGATACAGAAACGTTCAATTTAAGAATCACTACTGAAACACGTAGCCTCAAAAATTTCGAACCATCGTTTCGTTCGCGATGATACTGTATGTCTCGTTCGTGTTTCGCCAAGGAACGAAGGGAATATTTCCCCAGTCATCCCTTGGTACATCGACGCATCGCCATACGCACGTTCGAGCGTCGTTTCTCTTTTGTCTCCGGGCGTTCCTCGAGTCCCGTGTCTCCTTTTGTCATCCGTGGCACCGAAAAACGAAAGTGCGCGTTCATGCAAAATCGACTGGCGCTGCCCTTTGACCCCGGCCGGCCAGCCACGGTCCGTCTGGCCCCGACAACGGGCTACGTTCACAGTTAGGTTCTCACGGCTCATACATGAATGCATGCATACGGTCTGAAACGGTGGGCGATTGGCCCCGACGACTACGCCGCCGTTGTCCAGGCACGATCGGTACGTGGGCGATGCCCATGGTGGTCACCAACCGACGGAGAATGGGTCTGCCGAGTCCGTGCTGGCTCCTTTGAGCCTCGCCTGCCATCAACGTCACTCGACACCGACACCCCGTTTCCCTCGATACAACCTCCGCAGCACGCGTTACCTTGCTCGCATTTACACGGGACACACACGATCAATTTCCAACAAAATGTCTTCATCGAGCGGCGACCGTTATCGTACGAGAATACATTTTACTTGGAGGCTGTTCGATAGGCAGAAGTAATTTTACATAGTTTAAACGTATACTTGCGTTGTTTAAATTTTACTCCAAGAAGTATTAAACGAGTCCTCATCAACTGCAAGATAACAATGCTAAATATAAATTAAATGCACACTTGTGTGGTTTAAATTTGACTCCAACGAGTAATGAGTATTTAAACCCCTTTCAAATGACCATAACTCCTATGATAGTGAACGTATTTCAGTGGAATTTATTTGTGAAGTAGAGCCCATGGATGCCTACAAATCTATACAGCGTCAACCAAAGTAATTAAAAATGGAAAGCTAATTTTTAAGAAAAATCGACAGAGGGTGACTAAATTTTTCAGACGAAATTAAAAAATTTCGAATCGTTCTGAAAAAATTATTTTTAGCTAGTGGGGTTAATTATAATAAGTTTTGGTCATTACACATACCCCCAAAATCCTACTCAGCTTCGAGAAAAAAATTCAGGAAGTGCCTAAATTTTTCGGCGAAATTAAAAAACTTCGAATCGTTCTAAAAAAATTATTTTTAGCTAGTGGGGATAATTACAATAATATTTGGTCATTATACATATCCCCGAATTCCTACTCAGTTTCGAGAAAAAAATTCAGGAGATGCCTAAATTTTTCGGTGAAATTAGAAAATTTTTAATCGTTCTAAAAAAATTATTTTTAGCTAGTGGGGTTAATTACAATAATTTTTGGTCATTACATATATCATCGAAATCCTACTCAGTTTCGAGAAAAAAATTCAGGAGGTGACTAAATTTTTCAGACAAAAAAAAAATTTTGAATCGTTCTGAAAAAATTATTTTTAGCTAGTGGGGTTAATTACAATAATTTTTGGTCATTATACATATCCTCGAAATCCTACTCAGTTTCGAGAAAAAAATTCCTTACAGAAAATCTAATGTCTGATCAGAGACATGAATGATTCCCCTGAAATTTCATTTCGTATGTTTAAAAAATCATAACTTCTGAACGGAATGGAGGATTTTAATGTTTCAAAATGCAAACAACGCACATTTTGGTGAAGGATATTTAGAAATTCCGAGAATGTTGGAGAAATTGTCCCTTAACACCATAAAAATGGACCAATGCCTTGTTTTTATCACTTGATACTGTAGGTGCGGTCCAATTATCCGGAATATTTGATTTTCTGACATTACCCCAGTCCCAAGTATGCCGGATAATTGGAATTTTACTGTATTAAGGGTATTCCTTGCAACGGACGTTAAAGAATTTAATTTCCTTCGAGATTCAAGACGCATCTCCGCCCCGATTATTCTCCCTTTTTGCATTTTCTGCCATCGAGACGAAGCCACGGTATCCCCGGAGGAAGTCTGAAACAATTATTCCACGGCCATCGAGCTCCAACCACCGGGGATCGGGGCCCCCGACGCGAACATTCCGCGACACTGTAAACGAGACTCCCGCCGTAGCAAACTTTTCCCCCCGTTCAGATAAATTAACCCACTGTCAGGCCGGGTGCTGGAGGGGTGGAAAGGAAACCGAATACGCGTTTCGCGGGGGATGATACCAGCCCTTCCGACTTTCTCGAATAAATTGTAGCCGGGTGACGCTCGACCGCCAAAAGTCCCCCGAAGAATCTCTCTCGCTGGCAGACGTGTTTTTCTGTCTCGAACCGACTGCCTACGCGTACATGTTTTTTTTTATTTCCCACCCCCCGTTTCCTCCGCTCACCCATCCCCGCACGACGGTTCGGAGCCATCGCTGAAATCCGATAATCGACTCGCGTACACGCGAACCTCGAGGTCCAGGAATATCGGAACACACTCGGGTTCCATGCCAAACACCCGCCCCCGAACCTCGCTCGGGAGAGGCACTTTCAATTGGAGATTCAACGACATTTGGTATGCATTAGTCCACCCCGGAACCCACCCCCTCGTAAACACAGGCGCAGAATCCGATACGGATTTGCGACGTTTTGCTCGACCTACGGTTCCGTTCGATTCCCGGGGACCATCCAACGAAGACGGGAATTACTTTCTTGCGAAACGTACCACGCTGATTGGTATCCTCTTTCCGCGTGCACGGTATGGAACAAACCACCCCTTATAATTTCCCTCAGCATTTTAATCAAACATCGAGTCTTCAAAACAGGCTCGATATTTGCTTCTGTCAAACAAAATTCTGTGTTGACTTCTATAATTTATTTCTGTATTTTAATCTACCATTAACTAATTCTAATTCAA